CCTCCGTGGGACTACAGCCGCATCGTATCGGTTGCGATCGGCCCTCCATTCTCCCCCCCCCCCCTGGATGTTTATCCATAAAAGAGTCGAGCCTATACGTTTTGAGAGTCCGTACGTCTCGAGATGCGCAACAGCGAGTGGCGACACGAGAAAGCCACTTATAGATGGAACGGATAAACTCGAGGGCGAGGAAAAGAGCTTCGAATCGCTGAAACTTGAGCCGATGCCTGCCGTCGCGTCTATCTTCATCTCGGCCGCTTCGCCCCTAGTTTCTTTGCCCTCTCCGCTCCTCGGCGGTGAAGAGACTCGAGTGCCTCTACGAGCCGGGCAGGGGCTTCTGACGAGCTGGTAAATATTGCCCTCGTGTTCGCCCCCGTTCTTTTTCCATACTCTTGAAAAGTCGATCAGGAAAATTCTCCTCTGCGCTTTTTGGCCTCGTGAAATTTACTGAACCCGGGCAAAAACGAAATAAACTGGACTCGGTGATGTTTGCTCTCGCAGAGTTTAAACCTCCACGCGTCAAACTTTCGAGCTTTGGGGAAGTTTTGGGCTGCGACCCTACAGTTTGCGTACGAAGTTTTGACAAAACTACTTGTTTTAGCCAACGTGGCAGGGAAGAAAAGAAAAAGGTGTGAGGAAGGGCATTTCCAAGCAGCGAAATAGTTTTGTACAAAATACTTAATTATCTGACAACTGGCAGAAGCTGAATCAATTACCCGAGAACTAAATATCCATTTAATCTTACCCAGAGGATATTAAATGCCGGCGAGCAGTAATTAAAGGGGATTCGTTGATGATCATCCTCGGCTGTGCGAGTGGTATGAACGAATACCCATTAATCACGCAGTCACGTGAATGAACGAGACGGAAGAGAAAACGAAGGCAAAAGAAAGAGAGGTAAGACGGGGCTTAGAAAAGTTCCACATGGCTAGCGGGGCTGTAGCGGGATGGATCGTTTATTATCGAGGGGGGGGAGAGCCCTTGGAGTCTCTGGGGTATTTTTCTCCGCAACTTCTTCCTCCACCGACCAATCAGGAACTATCGTTTTTCGAAGAGCGAAGTCGATCATTTTCTTTTTTTTTTCTTCCTTATTTTTATTTAACTTGTCGTTTTTGCCAATTGGAATTTTATTGGTTGGATGACCGATGCGTCTGTTTAATGTGACATTCAATCAATTTGACAAGAGTCTCTGATCCATTTGTAAAACAGGTATCCAACAAAACTATTGGAACAATTTAGTTTTTTAAAGATACACCATATAACTTATAATCACGACTCCTCGGACGGTGACCCCTACATGCACAAGCCACTGATTCTACTCCTCTACTCCGAGCCCAGAGTAAAGTCTTGTGAGCAGGCGCTCGTGCACAATGGCACTCTAGTCGGTGAATAAACAGTTCCGGTAATTACGTGTGTGGTAGGTGTTGGGGATGGAAATGAGAAGTCAAGTGCTGGAGCATAGAGGATATGGCACGAGGAGTTGGGGTTGCTCTGCGCAGTACGAAGAAGGGACACGTAAGTAGATAGCTCTGAGAGGGAGGGAGTAGAGTTCTACCATGGAATTTAAAGGGAATTAAATGAACTCACAGGCAACGCAATTCAGCGCTCGTTTGTGTGTAACGCAATCTTATGAATCAATTTTTTTTTTTTTTTTTTCACCGAGTTTAAGTTTTAGAGCTGGAAATAAATCTCTTTTAAACGCATTGAGAAATTTTTTGTGATGCAAAACATCCAATTCCTTTTTAGTAAATAGCGGAAAGTGCTCGGTTAACAAAAAAAAGGGGATATTCACACTTTTTTTTCCACCTTTTGGAGTGAGCTCCACCAGAGCAGATAACCAAGAGGCCTACTTGGCTACTATTTTTCTCACGCAAACATAGCGTACACAAACCCCTCGACGACGACTACGACTTTACGATCGTTTGGAGTCTGCCAAAATAGCCCCTCGACTCGTTCGACTTGGCACCTTTTGCACGCAGAAAAGTAAAATAAGAAGCAACGAGACTCTGAGCGACTATGGCACGAGAAGTCTATTCTGCGAAGTGGCGGACTTTTCTCGGCTTGCCACTTCTACAGCTGTTTTTAAATAAAAAAAAATATAGGGTAGGGTGGTAGGATTCTCCAGGACTCATGTCTTCCCCTCGTTGCAGTGGTTAATTTTTTTCTTGAATTTGGACTATAAGTTGTATTTCTCTTCCTCATATTGATCTGCTAAAGCATATATCATAATGAGTTGGAACAATTTTTTTTTTGCAAGGAAAAATACCAATGTTGCGTTGATTAGACGCTCGTTTAAATTTTTGCTTCCCAAATCGGCATAACAGTACTAAATCCCCACAACTTACTCGCTGGTACAATTTTTTCATTATGATTATTTCAGTAGAAGTAACGACTCTTTCACGTATGTATGTATGTCAACGCTAAATCGATAAAGAAAGTCTCTCAAATTGGCACTCCAATTACTGTAACAAAATTCAACAGACACGTAACGAGGAAAAATATAAATAATACACCTTGACGGGCACTCGACTTTTTCCGCTGGCTTGTCTCCGTACTCATTCATGCGCTCGAAAAAGATTCGAAAAACAAAGAGAAGGAGGTACAGAGGAAAGAAAACTCCCATCCATTGTATAAGATTGGCGACAAAGTAGGTTTCGCCCGCGGCAGTTAGCGACTCAAGCAAAGTGCAAAGGGAGTGAGGAAATTCTTGTTTTCGCCTTTCTTTTCCCAGTTGGCTATCCCCTTTTTACTCGTCCCCTTCTTTTCTTCCACCGAACAAAAAAACAACGATCGCCGATCGATTATTTATGCATGCGAACGAGTTGTCGCCGTTTGCGTACACTTATTTATGCATGTGGGGTTTCTCGTTGTCTTTTGGGGAAACTTCACGGCTGGCTTTGGGAGTAGAGGGCTGGTTCCAAGTAATAAAAAATGTATGCGTGCCCTGGGGAGTTTTTCCACAGATGACCTTTTTGGGGGACGTAGGAATCATTTCTGGAATTGAAATTAGTATTCACGCGTGCGACAGAATCACCGTAGCGATCCGTTGGATTTTCAATTGGCAATGTCATAGTTTTGAAAACAATCACCTGCATGTGTGTACACTCTTGTGGGTGGCTGTGTGGTATCACTAACTCCCACAACCCCTCGAGTTGTCGTTTATGAATACTACGAGTAAACATAGAAACAGATCCCCCCCTGTGGTGCAGAAATAACTAACACTGTTGCATAATCAAAATATATGTTGGGATTCTAGTAAGGTAATATCGACATTTGTTAAAAAAAGGAGCTTGATAAATTTAATTGTGGATAATAAATGGGTCTTAGGTATAGAGTGAAGCTTTATTGTGGTAGGCTGTCAACAAATTCCAAGCCGATCGTGAAATAATGCGAGTTGAGCCATACACGGCGTCAAGTAGAAACATTCGTGTATGGTCAGACGCGTCTTGCTTCCCCAGATCTATGTAACTATACTATTTGTATTTAGATACTCTATATTTTTATGATACATTTTATTAAAATAAAGCCAAGCAGTAATACATGTTAATAGTCAGACATGTGTTGTTTCGTCGTATTTAAGTTTCTATAGTTTCGAATTTCCGCTCTTATGATACATACTTTTTGTCAAGCTACTTTTGATATCGATCATGCATACCATACCACAATGTGCATTAAGTAGTAATATCCATGTATAGGCTAACACGAACTGCTTTAAAAAGCTTTAAAAAGCTACTACATGTACCTTGACACTTTTTATTCTACTTTGGCATCACACCATATTTTGACATCTATCAACAATAACACTACAAACCACGCTAAGTAAGAGTAGCCGAGTATTATTCTTTTATTTCTACGTAGCTACTATTTGTATTCTAGTGCTCTCCGCACTATTTGAGCATTTTTCGTATGTAGATAAAAAGTAGAAATATCCGAGTATAGTCAGACACATACTGCTTCCTTGCATCTGAATAGCTGCAACATTCACAACAGAATTATTAAATCTACTCATAAATTTTAATTTTTTAGTCTGTATCAAATAATTGCTTTCCATTAAGATACATTCCATTATGTGTGTAAATTTTGTACGAACTTTTATTTCTCTACCCACCAACTGAAAAACCATAAAGTGTATCCAGTAGAAACATCCTAGTATAGTCAGCCGCATAGTGTTTTCCGGCATCTGCCCAGCTACAGTTTGCCTTTCGGTACTTTCCGCTGTTTAAATCTTTAAATAGATATTTTTTTACAGTCATCAACTAAAGTACTAAAAAAGAAAATAAGAAACAACATCCGAATATAGTCAGACGCGTGCTACAGTATCCTCTGCTGTGGTGGATTTGTATTTTGTATCAAGCCACTTTTAGAATCTCCAGAGTTGTTAAACAACTCATGGTGTCGTATTACCGTGCAGTAATCAACGAGAATTTCATAGTTGACAGCATATCCCTTGATGGGATTAGAAAAGAAAATAAAGCAACTCCATCCCGGCCACCGAAGTCAAAGGGCTAACAACAAAAGAAGAAAGGAAAAAAAAGGAAAGCATCAGCGCCGTCGAGTCTCCTCGAGCAATAGACAGGGTCGAATCGCTGTTCCACCACCCCGGGATAGCGCACACACCACGAGGAAGTACCTCTACATGGCATAACAGCAGGATTCATCGCTTGGCCCGAGGGCGGCGCCACCCTCGCCCCACAGCAAGCCTCTCTTTCCCTCCAGAGGGAAAATAAGCTCGCCCAAGGCTCGCTCGCCGATGAGCTACAAGCACACGCAGCCGTGCTCGTTGTTAACACGCGCGCGCGCGCACGCTTCCGACCTTTGCCCTCTCTCGCTCGCTCTACACTGGCACCGCCATAACATATACACACACCCACACAGGGCACGCACACGAGGAAAACAAACGAGGGGAAGGGGTACCTGCTTACGCTCGGCGTGCGCTACTTTCCCAGCAGCAGCGAGCAAAGGAGCCAGAGTGAGGGCAGTTGCACGCGACGTCGTCGTCGATTCGCCATGCGGTGCTGCTGATGCTGCTACCGTTCGTGCAGGGGCCCGCCTCGGTAGACTCGGAGCTTCCGAGCAGCCGTGCACCTCGGGCCACACGCGCCGCGCCAACCATTCGTAATAACCGCTTCCTCGATAAAATCACCCCGTTGTCGCGAATTAAAGTGAATGAAGCTACTGGTAGATGAAATTGATGAATAAACAATTACGGCCCCCCGTCCAACCGCGAGTGTACCAAGGTGTGGTGTGCTAGTATTATCGTTATCATGGGTGCAAGTAGAGCTGGTGGTGATGGTGAAGGCAGATGTGGTGGTGGCAGCTGTGGTGGTGGATACGGTGGTGGTGCCGAGTAGTGGTGCTCGTGGCCAAGGAGCCGAGGAAGTGAGCAAGGGGGATCGAGCAAAGTTGAAGGAGGTGAACGAAAGAAAAAAAAAGGAGAATAAGTTACGGACAGGAAGAGAGCCATGAGGGGTCATGGAAAGAATCCGAGCTGCTGCCCTGATGGCCTCAATGTCGTCATCGTGTTGTAAAAGCAACACGGAACACAGTAGCGCTTCACTAGTCAGCTGGTTGACATTAGGGTTGTTGTTGCTTTTTTTTTTATTTACTAGTTTTTCGAGAGAAAATTATGGGTTGAAAAAAAAGTATCGATAATGAATATTTTTTGCTATCTACGGAATTACTCCCTAGAAGTTTCGAAGAAGTATTCACTTATTTAACAATGATCTATGGAAGTGAGAAAAGTATGCCGTGCGCGTTGACAGGGGCTTAATTGAAATTACATTTTTTAACAGTCCGATGGGTGAATATTTGACTGCGTTGATTGCGCTAAGGTATTCATTATGAAGGCCACGTGACGAGTTTGTACAGTCACGCTTGTCTCGATTGATAAAGGGGTAGGGTAGCAAAATCACGATCTCTTGGTTCTAATATTGATTCCAATGGCCTGAAATGAGTAGAAAATTGACTGACGAGTCATTGTTTGATTTACTGTTTTTACATTGAAACGCGTTTAAGCGTAAAATATACATTCGTTCGGGTAATCTAGTGGAGAATTCACGGAAAACTGTACAGCTGTTATTTATATAACTGCATTATTTAGAAGGTTAGAGTATGTTACAATAACCTTGCCAGTTCTGCAAACGTATCGTAATTTATTTCAGTGGAAGTTAGTTAAAATTTATTCGTTTGTGTGCATTGTGATACCTCGAATGTCATGAAATCAATGACATCGTAGCAACGTCTATCTAATCCCTCGTGAATCGTGTTTGTGCATGCACTAAATCCATCGCACGCTTTACGTCCCTTCGAATGTGGTAAAGTTGTAAATTGCGATCCCAAAGCCGTAGCCTAAATATATTTTACTGCCAACATTGAACACAACACAATCGTCGTGGTAGCATTTATCGAGTCAATTGCAATTTGACAATATGATTTTACGCAAAGATTTCCATTTGCAAATTGAGAGACCATTAAAATAGTACAAAGTCAATATTGTTTGACTGCCACGAGCTTTCAAGCTCTGCGTTGTTTGACCCATGCACCATGTTTCGTTAAAAATATTAAAAGACTTGCTTAAACTGTTGCAATTGATGAGCCATCACTCGCGTGGTTTATTAAAACAAGTTCCATTTACGGATAGGAGAATTTCCAGTGTTGAGCCCAGACCCGTAAAAGGGTGTTCATTTTAAATGTAGAGTACGAGCGGTTCAAAAATACCTACCCTAAAAGAGTGCAGCTCCCTCGGGTCTTCCTCGAGTATGTACAAGCTTAGCGGCTGAATTCGGGGAGATTATTCGCAAGGGTGTCGGCCACGGCGAAGAAGCGCAGCGAAGAAAAGCGCGGATCTTCGCAGGCCCGAAAGGACCGAGTGGGCGAGTATCGATCGACAAATTGCTCCCGCTGACGGTGAGGAGCACGTGACGCGAATAGAGCGTTGGGGAAAATTTTTTACCCCACGCCAAGGGGATACGTTGCATAATGGATCAGCGGCTGGCATGATGCAAATCTAACCCCGGCATGGATGCGCTCTCTCGTTTCTCTTTTCGACGCGGTGGAGGCTCCTTTTTTAAGGATTCGGGAGGAGACTTGACATTTGTTGGTGCTCGGCTCGTGATTTAGGGGATCCTGCGTTTTAGAAAATCGGGAAGGTCTGATCGTTTCAATTACCCTTGTTCGAAGAGGAATACATTTGTGGCACTGTTATTTCCTTTGTTCGGCGCAAACACTTGTATAATTGATGCAGGAGCTTTGAGAGTAAAACGCCTTGTCAGTCTCCGTGGAATTGGAAATCGTGAGATTTCGAGTCCCTTGTGTGAAAACAGAGGAGTAGGATAATGTGGTAAAGGGTGTGAATGGAATATGGAAAATTCCTGGAAGCCTTCCAAAGGTATTTTTCGAGAGATTTCTGAATTCGTAATGCACCTCTGTTTGACGCTTTTTTTCTCTTCGTTTTCCAAATTAGAAGCTGAATGAATGATCGTAGTATTGACTGTCGAGAGTAAAGTCTGAGACGCAGTAAATTTTCAAATTCGATAGCAATTGACGGAGCCTAATTTTTCCCACTCGGATTGGGGATACAAATTTACTTGATTCGTGCTGTAAAAAGTTTATACGGCCACAAATAAATTTACATGCCAAGGATAGGCTGACGATGGTAAGCTTAACGACCGATTCATCGCTCACTTAAAAATTTAGGCACCGGCACGAAAAAAGCCACAGCCTACTCCAAAGGCAATAAAGAACATAAGAAGGGCCAAGTGGAAGAGAATTCGCGGCTCTAGTCAATTGATTCTAAAAATACTCGTAAATCAATGGAATCAATTTGCGCGACGAGGGTAGGACAGTTCGCTGATCAGTTGGAAATTTAATAGGATCCTGTCGGTGGAGCCAATAACGCACGTGCGACCTTACGCGTGGCTATTGTTTCGGAAAACTTTTTGACACGGAAAATCGAGCCATTTTATCATGGTAGAACTTTTTTAGACTATGATGAAACTATTGATCCTCCAATCGGTGAGGAATATGCATTAAAAGATTGAAATGAAATTCACAGAATTGTGCCAATGCCGCTTGCATTAGTCCTGGTTTTAAAAGTTTCTTTTACAATTTTACACTTTTATATCGTAAATTGGAAAAAGTTTAATGCACTTCTCGGTTTGATTCGAATAACACACAAAAGTTCGGCCGATCAAGCGAGAAAAATAGCTTTCAGTCAAAAGTGGCATTTGTAATTTCCCACCGTCAGGCTTGTCCTCGGCCATGAAACCAGGAGGCAGTAATTTAGTTATCATTTTCGATCATAGTTGGCCCGTAATTTCTCGAATTTTGGTAACCATCTCCTTCCCCCCTTCCATACGCGTCGCGACGACTGCGTGACTCAACAGATCAGTGGTTTAGCTCTCTTCTCTCCGAGACGTCGGCCAAGACGCATCGAAAGCTCACGGTAGCATTTTTCGTTTTACTCAACACCACTCGAAGAATTTGTAAGCTGTTTCTTTCCTCTCGTACGTTTGTTTCAAAAGCAAGAAAATTCGATCTTATTTCTTTTGTATCCATCAACTCGCAGTAGTTCTTTTGATATTGAGCATGGCTTATATATCGCCTTTATACGAAAGTATATCAAGTTGTTGATCCCTCAAATACGCGGCATCTTATAGTTAATTCAATGAGATTTGTTCATTTTACTAACGCTTACACAAATACGCAAGTACAAGTATTCCATCTCATAAGCATTTCTCGATCAGTGGATGTCTTTTACCAAACAAAAAAAAATATGTATGTACAACGTTCTCAATTACAATAAAAGTTTATGAATAATTTTCAAAGACCTCGAGATAATTTTAGATAAAACGTTTGATTAATGATGTTTGAAACCAAATTACCAATGACATCGTTTTTCTGTGCAATAAATTTCATCCGAAGGTAGGAAATATTTCTCTGAATTTCTTAGAATTTCAAAAAGTTATTCGTAGAATACTGCAACAATTAATTATGATTATGAAAAAACTAGAAAAATGCACCGAAAAGTAATAAATGTAATACCTATCTGGTTGGCGCGAGTGTAACTTTTGTGTTAAGCAAACCCACTCAATTAGACGGAAAGAAAAAAAAAAAAAAAAGTCAAAAAAAAAAGCAGCAGCGGGTACTTAGTAGTAATAATAGCAGCTCGCGTGCGCGCGCTTCTAAATATACGCAGTTATGTAGCCTGGTCATTAAAAGTCGGTGCAGGCAAGAAACGGCTGCGCTGGCAAACGCGATTTGTAAATTACGGCCCCGACCTAAAAAGTTGCAAATCGCAAATATCTCTCTTTGTTTAATTGATAGGGACGAAACTTTCTTTCTTTCGTTCTTTCTTTCTTTTTTTTTTTTTTTTCCCGAAAACATTTAAGTTGGACGAGTTTAGGAAAAAAAAGACTTCTGTATACGAGCTTAAAATTATTTATGGCAAGCACGTTATTTTAGCAGAAATTTTAAGAAACTGCATACAAAGATTTCTCGTTTTTTTATTGCGTTGTTGTTATTTAGGAAAGAAGCATATTCATTAGGAATTAACATATTCATGCCGAGTAAATCTGCATATTCATAAACTCATTTTGAACGCTTAGGTAAGATTACCAGTAAAAATTTTTAAATTACCATGCAGTGATATCTTATTTAAAAAAAAATGAAATTCATAGTGAATTTAAAAAAAAAATATCCAATGTGGAGAGACTCATTTTTTGAAATACCAATAAAATGCGATATTTTTCTTTTAAATGTTAAAATACCCTAATGAAAAGTGCATAAATGAAAACACACGTGGCATTTAGGTACTTACTGTTATTAAGGGAATGAAATTAATATTAGAACCACGGGTCTTTGCCTCTGAAGTCAACATTTCAATTAAACATGTATGTCAGCATGAGAAATTTTTACGTGATCTACAAGCTTTGCTACAATATGAAACACTCGCCCACTAATCTTCTCTCGAATAAATCTCTGAACCAACTAAATGTGATGAAATAGTTTTTTTTTTTTTTTTTTTTAAAGTTTAATAATAACACTTTGCGGCAGATGAAAGGACACTGCCGTAAATAGCCATCCTTTCTCGACGGTACGACAACGACGACGAAAATAGACACGGGAACAGAAGAAGAAAAAGAGAAGAAGGACGCGGGGAGGAAGGGGGCCGGCCGGCGCGTGTGTGCGTTGACCAATAATGCCGGATAAGGACGAGCTCAAGAAGCAGACCTTCCTGCAGAAGCTGCTCTTCTACACGACCGCGTCGTTCATCCTTCTTGGCACCTTCAGCCTCTTCGCCTTCCTCTTCCTCGTGCCCTTCGTCATAGATCCGGCTTTCACCACGATATTCATGGATTTCGACGAGAGACCCGCCGAGTGCCTCACCATCGACGTTGAGTCTCGGAGAGGTGATGATCGCCCTCGCGATCGATACATCCCCTGCTTTGCCCTGTGTATCTTTCTCTTCCCACTCATGTGTTTCGATATATGTGTTTTTGCTTTACTGTTTAGCTCCTAATCCGCTCTCTTTTGCTAATATTTGTGGATGATTCGAGATTTTTTTATTTTGCTGTGCTCTCGTGTTCACTTATATGTTGCTAGCATCTATGTTGTCTCTCTTTCTCTATCGTAGATTTATCAATGTTCAATAATGTTTGACTTTTTTTCCTTCTACTGTACGACTAGGATATAGGAGAAACAGTATTGTACGTCGATTAGATTTGCAGTTAATACTTGATTATACACATTAAATTTTTATCAAGGACATTGCGGCCCGTAACCGTGAAAATCGATGTAATTGCGTCAATCGTATGAATACTTCACCGAAAAGATTTAATCGTGCTTTGAACGTGGATTTGACATGAATATTGGGTATAGCTCATGGTGAATTGGTAAATTATCATAAAAATAAAGTCGCTACCTTGAAAATTCAACGATTACCTTATTTGGGCTGATGTAGTATGAGGAAAAGTCACGGTACTAAAGTTGATACAATAAAGGTGCTTGAAACTCATTCTCTTCTGCTATGAAAGGCAATGTGCTTGAAGAAAAAAAAAAAAAAAAAACAGCAGTAGAATACGATGAAAAAGTTACGCAATCTTCAAAACTTAAAAATATATATACTTGGTATGGGGCCCATCAGGTTGGTAAATTTTTTTTCCAAGTGGTCTGTTAACGTCACGTTTTATTTAAAAAAAAACAATTTTTTTTATTTAACGAAACGATGAAGAACTCAGCAACTAAACGAATATTTCGTACGCGGCTTTTTTTATGATTTGACTTACAGTTTTGGGAAAAATATTATTTCATAAAAAAAAGGCACGTATGGACTAAGTTGCGCAGAATAAACGCGAACAATATAAAAACACACACGCAATAACGAAAACGCAATACGACTGCGGTACATTATAATGGCATGAGTTCCAAAGTATTACTTCGAAACGTACTTTTCAACAGCGATCAATTGAATATAGCTTGGTATATTATTTATGAGCTAACTTCTATAACATTTAACTATTTTCTTGACGATTGGTACATGTTACGTACTTTGGGCGGTAGATCAAGGATTTTATGCGTAAATAAATTTTCACGTACTCTCACCACCAAAAGTAATACATGTAAAATTCAATTAGCCGCGATCGCACGCACCAGACGGTAATCGAATTTTCTTATTACGTCCCACTGGTAAGACTCGCAACGAGAACGAGATTTTTCCCATCCTCCACGTGGCTAAACAACGACACGCGATCGCATCGCCTCGTCTCCGTTCTCGATGTCGTGTACTAGAGTGCATGATCTTTAGAAATTCGCGTGAACGCCACACACGAGCTCCACCGCGCTCTCCTCTATCCCAGGGTCGATCGTTTCCGCTGATATACCTGCTCGCTCCGAGACCTTTTCTTTTTTTTTTCTTTTTTTTTCTTTTCCTCTTTCTCCGGCTCTCTTGCCGAGCCTGTTTTCTGCATTATTGTTCGCATTTTCTTTCCTTCCTTTTTTTTCTTTGTGTGTACAGCACTTGGCTCGATCGTTGGTGAGACCGAACACTTTTCCTATTTCAAGCTCGACTCTTTTTTCCGTGCTTTTGTTCAGCTCAGCTTTCGGTATTTCGCAAGCCCAGCGTTAAAAATACAATATGTAAGCTGCAAGCGTGTTGTTAAAAAGTCAACTGCAACTATTACACATAAATTTTCTTACGTACTTTAAATGTGTGTGTATGTGTGTATGTTATCTTTCCTGGTACTCGCTGCTTTTCACCAAATCAGCGCACGAACAAACTCGTACACAATACGCCTGTGGTTTCCATTTTAATGCCGCACTTCACCTCCCGCGTAACGAGTCCTGATGGTAGTAAAGTATCATTTAACATGCGCGTGCCGTATTCGTAACTATGTAGCAAAGGGATGAACGCGAGCGTCGAAAAATGACAATTAAAGACCTGCACGCAGGCTCGACGTGACGCTCCTATATCGAAGAGAGAAGCAATAATACTCGAGAACAGTCGGAGTTAGCCTCTCGAAAAGCTCGACGTTCACTTTACGAAGCCGCGAACGCGGCAGCGTAGATTAATCAATTGCCCTGAGCGAGAGAGTCTCTCGCTCGCCTTATTGCGGTAGCTAACTTGTACCGATTATGATCACCCCGTGTACAGTACTGAATAGCGTCCTTTCTTCTCTCGAGCACCTGTACTGCAATCGACAGTCGAGCTTTGTCTGGGGGGGGGGGGAGAAGTTTGAGATATATTGTTCTCCCTCAAAACTGGATCAATGGAAAAGTTTGATAAAAAGAAAAGAAAAAGATGTATATTTATTTGTGATATACCTTAGCCTCTCTACTCTAGCCCCATTCGGCGTGCGGTGTGTCATTACGCGAAACAACTCCATTAGGTATACATAAAGTACAGTGCACACGCCAACTCACCGTCACTCAACTCGATTGGTACCTGCACATAAACACGTAAGTGGGTCAAGTATAAGGTCGCCTCGTGCGACTTGTCCGCGTCACATAGGATTGTGTGTACACCCTGAAATACTCGCTCGTTGCAATCAGAAAAAAAAAAAACTGTGTCAACTTCGTGCAGGTGCATCTTTGGCTTTTGCCTTTTATTCGCCTAGTGATAACCAACAACCCTATTCATTTGGCGTTGAGGATTATAAGCTCGTCGTAGCTTGGCTTTGAACAAGGAGCACATTCGTGTTGCATTCGTTCCTCAAATTATCGCTCGTCTATCTATGTCCTTGTTGGTTTTGTACGTTGTAAAAAGAAAAAAGTGTACATAAGCATAGAAACACGTGAAATCAGATTTCTTAGCATATTTTTTAATCTTACTCCGAGGAAATATCATCATAATACACACGGAAATAATCGCTACTTTGATTCTTTTCTATTAAAATTTTGTGTGCGCTTATAATGATCAAGCAAGAAAAAAAATGGACTGGAGCATCGCTCAAACCCTCTATTGACTCGAGTACGACGCTTTGTGTTATCAGTGCTAAACGTAAGTCGCTATTTCGCAAATTAAACCAAAGTAAATCCAACAATCGTAACTGTCTCCAACTCCTAATCCTCGTGTCAACGGGGGGTTAAAAGACACAGGCTTAATCGTAGTAATTCATTTAGGCCTCGCGTCAGCCACTTTATTTTTAGCCATATAGCTGATTCAATGGTCTTTTCTACTTCAATTCTTTTTGCCACGTCGTCTTACTTACTTTTTTGCGTCTCTGTGTGAAAACAAAGAAAAATTAATTATAAAAAAAAAAAAAGAAGCCAACTCTACCGCGAGTAGAACTCACTCGAGTCGCGTGTACTCGTACTGGAGCTGTCATCGAATCAGTTCAAAGTATCCGCGAAACGTACAAAGCTCGCCACTATATCCAATGGCACGAGGGTATAGAAAAATAAAGGCCTTCCCTCCCCCGTTTTCATCGATCTCCGTTGAGGCGTACACTCCGCCACTCGTTCGCTCACTGCCACATCAGCAGCGCTTCTGTTTTTCACTTTCGTTCATCCGACCCTCGCTACCCTCGCCCTGTCCTTTTTTCCTCGTACAACACAACTCCGATGCAGCAGTCGCGTGATGCACTTTTTTTTATTTTTCCCGCTTTATTTACGATCCAAAAGTATATACATCCCTCGTTTCTTTTACACGCTCCTCCGGCCGTATACAGGCTTGGATTTTTCTTTTTCAATTAATTTACACCACCGATAAATCCCCGAATAAACGGTATTATATTTAAATTACCTGCCATGCCGTGATTTAAATTGGCGAAATTCATTCCCTGATATCGGGCTCTGGCGTACCGCCAGGAGACACCGACGGATCATGATTTGACTAAATTTTTTGCGCATAAGCTTTTATCCTCCGCAACGTTGGACGGGAGTCTTTTCGGTCCTCGATCTGCGCGTGTGGGCACAAAAATGTTTTCAACCCGCTACGTGTATGTACGTAGCCTCGAGACAAAGTTGCTGCCAAGGAATGAATCAACTAAATTTAGAGTACTGTGCACCCAAACTGCGCGAAAGTCGCTTTCGGGAACAAAAAAAATAATCGTCCTGCCGCAACCGTCTCTAATTTGTCTTTGTTTGGTTTACTTCAAACGTATCCGCAAAATCTTGGGAATAAGAAATTGTTGTTTTCTCATGTACATGGCCATCATCCAATTTCCATATTCGCTCGAGTTTCTTCCTTGGTCGAGGACTTGCTCCCCCCGGCCACCAGACCCCCTTGACCGAGCCGGTACAACTCTCTGGAGGGATTATTAAAATGATTCACGAGGACGCGGCTGGAACAATGATGGTGAGCCAGAGAGTGACCCTTAAAGCGTCGCGTCGTTAGTGGTCTCGTTGTATACCTCGTGGGCTAGAATTTATTTATTTATCGATCAAGTGCTCAATGGCGTTTTTGTTATATGGAATACATGCAGGCATCAACTCAACTGGGGTAAAAGTTATACTTTTACTCGTGTCACGGAACACTCTCGCATATATCGATCGGAGGGAGCGCGCTAAAATTATATTTTTCCCGGAATAACACGCGTGGTGGTTCGAAAATAAAACTCGTCGGCAACGCGCTCGTCTGGTACCTGGCACGTCCTTTTTTTTTGTCCATCGGTTGTTCGATTGAACGCGTCTCTTTGTAGGATACGGAATCGATGCGAAAGTCTGGATGGCACGAACATTGTGGGGAAAAAAGTAGACCAAACGTGTCGAGGCTTTTTACTAAATAAGGGTAACAAAACACCTATCGGGCTTTGGTTTATCACCCGTCATCGAGTGAAAAAAAGCATAATCATCAAGAGCTTGGATTTCGTTGATTTCATATCCCCTTACGAGCATATCTGTTACTTCTGCGTTGGCCACTTATTCTGCAAAAAAAAAAAAAAAAAAAAAAAAATTGATAACAACAATTAAAAATCCCCAATAGCCGAGTAGGAAAAATAAATTAAAAAAAGAAGGGCGAGAGGGGCGCAGAATTTTTTTTTCGCGCGATTAACGTGGAGCCGGAAACGACGCAAAGCTTCAGAGCCAAGCGTGTGGGAATAAAGCGCCGCAATTACGCACACATGCAGCCTTTGGAGGTAACTCTGCATACACACACACACACACACACACACATGCTGGGCTTGCATCTTCTTGCACCTTCCTCTTTTGTTCCCAGTCTCTCTGTGCAGTCTCTTTTTTTTTCCCGCTTCCGCGATGTTTGTTTGCGATTCTCCGTGCACAACACATATTTTGCCGTCTACGTGTGTCTCTTTTCTCTCTGCGAACGAACGCTTCTGATTCTTTGTCGTGCAGCGCCCATTGTCTCCTCTGTTTTTCACTGATCTTAGGGACTGCTCTCTTCTGGCTGAGCTTTGACTCTATACTGTCAAAAGTATTTTTTTCTTTTTTTTTTCCCGTTATAATTTGTACGTTATGTTGTTTGCTACCAGATTATAAATACCTTTTTTTATTATTTTTTTTTTCATTATTTAAAAAAAATTATTAATTATATGATTTTCCAACTACCATGTTAATGATGTTGTCGGACGTGAAAGAAAAAAAAAAAAGTATAGAAAAATCAAAGACAGGCAAAAATTTGTTCGTCCCAGCCATACAGAGAGCTATGGTCCGTAAAATGATAAAAAAAAAATTTTAAAAAACATGCCACTAGGTACGAGCAACTGCTCATGGACGTCGTGTAGAGAGGGCTGCACGCGCGAATTGTTCGAGTGCACGCAGATACGCGTTAACTATAAGCTGCCGGTTAATGTATCGCGGGAAGAAATCGAGGAGGCGGTAGGAGGGAGAAAAGGTGTCAGTAAGGACGAGGCTGTGGCTGGTGGTAAAATGCCGAGGCTAGAGCGTTCGCTCAGGGAGTACGACTACATCGAGGATCTCGAAGACGAGGACGATTTCAGTGAGGACGACGAGGATGGGCTACCAAAGCCCTTTCCTACAGGTGATTTTTTTTTTTTTTTTTTTTTTTTTTTTTTTTTTTTTTTTTTTTTTTT